GCATGGCCTATATATATGGACAAGTATCCTAGCTCAGATATAAGCACATATACAAATATGTATGTATATATATAATTATACTTCCAAACAGCGTACGCAAAAAGTAAGAATGATATTAGTGTTAGGTGTTCTGAGAAATCTATTCTATCCCTTGCACATGAAAGCCTGATTCTGTGTATAATTTCTTTCAAAGCTTATACTGCTCAAAAAATTACATACATCAATGATCATACTGATGAAAAGTCAGAATACCAGAATTGGTCAAAATACTATTTATATTTAAGGAAGAAAAGGGAGAAGATAATTGTTTTATACACTATTATCTAAAGAAAGAACAGATCATCATGACCAATTAAGCTCCTAACTGTTGCAGCCATTGTGCTCACCCAAAAGGATCTGTACTGGGTGTTTAATCCACACATCTCACTGTCCCTTGAGTGTGATCAAATGTGCACCAAAATCAAATTCACACACACACACAAAAACAAAAACAAAAAAAACACAAAAAAACCACAAAAACCCCCAAAACAACAACAACAACACAACAAAACAAACAAACAAACAACAAAAAAACCACACACACACAAAACCAACCAACCAACCAACCAAACAAACAAAACAGAAGAAGAAAAAGTGTTTTTGAAAAATTGAGGATGTCCAAAAGCATATTACAGCAACATCTTGTCTCACTGACACTTTTTCCTTTATTTTTCCTTTTTTTTTTTTTCTTATTATGTAGTTTTTTCACATCCTCAATGGTCAGCAGCTGTTTTTTTTTATTTTTAAAGAGAAAATTGAGTCCAGAGAGTCCACCATGACTTAAAAGTGCCAGCTTCACAAAGATGTGTTAAAGATACGCCAACACCCTCAGAGTATAGAAGTTAGCATAGCATGGCATTGCACTTTACCCACAGTGTAAAGAAAGCAACATATTCATACATAGCACAAAACCAGTCTTAGCTGTGTGTTTATTAAAAATGTAACTATGTAAAATGAGAACTTACCTTAAAAAACGCCCACATTATATGCCACAGTTCAAATTATAATGGCATTCAATTACCCTTAAGTCAAAAGCAAACGTGTGAACCACAGTTTGCCTCAGAACTGCTTATTCAGAGATAAATTCAGAGACTGAAAAACTCACAGGAATCTGGGTGCAATTTTGAGTGCAATTTTCTAAAGCAGCTTTTATGAACTAGGAAAATCTGTACCTAAATTCCAGCAGTATTTCAGGACTGGCTGCCTTACTGTTTTGATAGTGATCTTCCAGCACCAGGTGCAAAGTAAAATTGGAAAGTGTGTCTGTAATTTCTTGAGCACAATTTTAAACTGCCACATAAAGTTCTGGGTAAGTGAGAGGTAAAAATGTGCTTTGCTGCAAATGCCATATGATTCAAGATTTCATGTCCTTTCTGTCCAAATACTCCTAACATAAAATAAAGGAAAATATTAATATTTTTTTCCTCAGAACTCACTTTCTTAAATGTATTTTTCAGATAGAATTTGCAAATGATGCCACACTGTACAGAGCAATGCACAAATGGGATTCAGCAGCTGCTCCTTGTTGCTCTGTGCAGATAACATTAGGTTTCATGCATGTGGCAGCCCCTATCATTTTTTGTCCAAATTTGGTGCAGGAAAGGAGAGAGAAAATAGGAGGAAGCAATAATGCTGTCTGACAGACTTCTCAGAAACACCAAAGAAATGGTGTTAATCCAACACTGAAAGAGAAATGTTGGTCAGCTGAGAGGAAGCATGGCACACAAAGAACCTCTTGAGGAGAGGTAGGTAAAGATGTGCAGATATGCCTTATGGAGATGAAGAATACAGTATTATTACTTTTGATTCACAAACTAAGTAATTGCTTTGTACAGTTCGTTTTAAGGCTTTGGAAATGCGAAATCTAGCTGTTAAAACAAAAGGTCTGTCTCAGGTGACTAAGGTAAACACGATAATTAAAAGAAATAAGAAATAGTTGAAATGTTTTTGTAATTACTCCCTAGTCATTGTTAGGCTTTCCTGACTAATGGGGTTAGAAATCTTGAGCTAAAAGCATGTAGTGTGGAACTGATGTTATCGTGCACACCACATTGTTATACTTTCAACAAGAAAACAATTAAATAATTTCTTACTTTATAAAACACCTTTGAAAATAAAGACCCAGGACAATATGCTCTCTGTACGCCTCCTGCAGAGACTTCAGAAATATATGTATTGGACACCTGCTCCATTTGCAAAGTTCTTGCTACTAAAGACAGTAATTGTTGCTCAAAATTCCTCCACAGCTGTGGTAAATGCCTCAGGGCCACCTCAGTCACCCCAGTGCATCACCTAGGTAATGCTAAGGGCACAACCTGCTAGCAGGGAGAAATCCAAAGTGCATCACCTCAAGGAGCTCCTGAGAACAGTAGCTTACAAACACAAACCATAGTTCTTTCTCCAGATGGCTTTCAGTTTGAAGCCTATCTGAATAACATTTTTTCTTTATCATTACCCACCAAGTTTGCATAAATCAGAACATACAAGGTCACTGCCTTTCTGTGATCTTGAAGCTACAGGCAGGCCTTGCCAAGCAGAGAACAGTATGCAGCAAATGTTCTCCGTGTCCTTTCTCAGAGTCCATCTTTAATTAAAAGATTTGCATAGCACTGTTGGTAGGAGCTTTTCATTTGATGGAGCTCTGCAACAAATCACTTCTCACTGAATTCTGCTGCAGCAGTTGTTCCTGGGAACTACTGCAGACAAGCTAACTGCAAAAATACAGACCTAGTGGAAATCTGTAGAGAGAATTCCTTTATGTACTGGCAATGGATTTTCTTCTGTTACTGATTGTTTTCTTCTGAGGTGGAGATATTTATTATAGCATACATTGGGGCTTTAGTACAAAGTTAATAATGAGCCAACTGTGTTTGAAAACTGATAAGCTCCACACAGAACACTTCCAACCTACCAAATGCTTAAGTATGTAAATAATCCCACTGAAGCCACTGAGATTTCTTTTATGCCTAGTGCTGAAGCAAACATCTAGTCTTAATTAACTAAGACACAGTTTGGTAGCAGAAAAGCAACTAATTTAGGAAGTTTTAGAAATTCTAGGTGATTTCATTAGCAATTTGTGTGTATTTGGCCCTTTGCGTTAAGCAGATATGTTTACTGGCAATCCAGAGTGATTCCTAAGAATACCTTTCTTAACACAAGAATCAGTGGCGATTAGTTGCAAATAGTATTGGAAAGATCCCATAAAAAATATTTTCCCAGAACATTCTCTCACCCTGAAAGAAGCATTAACACTTCCTTCATCCCTCAAACAAGTCAAGGACGGCTTATTTTTAGGAGTACCTCACAGTGGAAAACTGTAAACTGGAAACTTCAAGCATATAGAGAGGCTGAATAAATCATGACTGTGTTCTTCATTCCCCAGATGGCGAGCAGAGCTCTGTTAAAGCATCGTGGTTAGCAGTGGTAGACTAAATTTTCTGGCAGTTGTTCTGACCACAGGTAAAAAAATGGCACAGACTCGAGCTTATGCTAAAGCCACAGGTTTATTATATTTCACATAGCAAAACATAGCATCTGGAGAAGGGATAGAGAGTGCTTTATATACCTATCAGTTGGAGATCCCTAAATAAGACAGCACTAGATCTCTGGGTTTCATACCTCTATCCTTTTTATAAGATGCTCACTAGATGATTGGATGAAAACATAGGATGTTAGTAAGAAGGTGGAAGAGCAGGGTCTGCTAGCACAGAGATGAAGCCAGCTTCAGGGGATTTTGCTAAGGTGGATGAACTACCAATCTGTGAGGGCCCACATGGCAAAACTGATCCTTAATACAACACTTCAAATTAAAGGTGGTGTCATTTGCAGGCCATGCACAAAAGTTTCACTTTGGGTACTGATGTTATAAAGAACAGAAAGTTGGAGTCACTGTATTTAATGGAATTCTGGAAAAGTTAAAAACTCTGAAGCAAAGGTGATTGAAAACTTCTGAAGTTAATCAGTTCAATCACTCAAAAAGTGGTGGCATCTGAATAGCCAGCTTCCTCTTACTTCCTCATCCTCACTCTTCATAGAAATTATTTCCCTATCTCCAACTTAAAAAAACCCTGCTGTGAACATATTTGTCTCTTAATAAAGCTCTCTCACTGAGAAAATATACCAATAGCAGAAGAGAAGCTTCTAACTTCTGTAGGCAAGGAAATGCAGATGAAGAGTTCTATGCAGTTTCCCAACTGCCTACCTGCCTCTTAGGGCTCTCCTTGGCATCCGTGACAATTGCACCATGTATTTCCTTCTACAGAAAGGAAGCATCTCCTGATTCTGGGCCAACCACTATACATACACAAATGAGAAGCTGCACTTTTTGGATGGTGCAGTACTCTGCATGATCACTGGATTTTCATATTCCCCTTGTTTTAACCTCCCATCTCATCTCTCCTGCAGGCTGGAAATTAAGTGGGGTCATAGTTTTTATGGGACGGTTATAGAGTACCCAACAGGAACCTTGAGCAGCTCCTTGGGGCTATTTACTGCTGCTGCTAACTGCTATACACCAAGTCCCAGCTGCAATAGGTTAGGGATAATGTACAGCCCACTGACAGCTGCGGATGGAGCCTGGACAGGTTAAAAATCTCTTTCCGTACTGTACACTCGCTTAGAAATTTCCGTTCAAAAGCAACCGAGGGGGCCGATAACGCCTGTCTGCGGGCCCTCTCCCCACCGCGAACGACGATTTAGGGGCAAACATTGACTACAGGGCGAAGCCGCTGAGGGCAGCGGGGGTGGGGGGCACGTCCGCCCGCCCCCGCACCCCGGGCACCGGCGGGGCGGCTCCCCCGGGGATCACCTAGCGCCGTGGGTGCCTCCCTCCCTCCCTGCGGTCCTGACGGAGGGGTGGCGGACAAACACGCAGCCACTGCCCCCAGGGCCGAGCCGAGCCGGGGGACAGGGCTGTCGGGGCGGGGGCACTACCGTGCGGCTGCATCAGCCCCCGCCTGCCCAGCGCCGGGGCTCGGCTGCTGAGCCGCCCAGCGGCCCCCAGGAGGCGGCGGCGGTGGCGGCCGGGGGACGCTGAGGAGGAGCCGCCTGCGCGGCCCAGCGGCGGCGGCGGCGGGCGGGCCGGACACACCGACCGACAGAGCAGCCGCGGCACGGACGGACGGAGGGACGGACGGAGGGAGGGAGGGAGGGCAGAGCGGCAGCGCAGCCCGCGCCGGCAGCGCCATGGCCACCAAGGTGAGCAGAGCGCGGGGGTCGGGAGGCGGCTCCGGGGCGCCCCCTGCGCGGAGCGGGCCCGGCGGAGCGGCCCGGCGGGCGGGGGTCCCGCGGGGGACGGGCGGCGTGTCGGGGCCGCGGGAGCCGCTGTCCTACCCGGAGCCTGCCCCTCGCTGCCGGCCGCGGGAGGCAGGAGGGAGGCAGGGAGGGGAGCGCCGCGCTCGGGCCTCGCCGCCGCCGCCCGGTCCCTGCGCGGGGCTCGGCTGGGCAGCCCCGACCCCGGGGCGGGGGAAAGTTGTTTTCTGGTGTGTTTGTGCCCCGCTGGCCCCGCTCCTCGCCCAGGCACCCCCCGCTCGCCCGGGGCGGCTGTAGGGCCGAAAAACCGGCGGAGGCCGAGGGTGCTGCTCCTGCAGCCCGGGCGCCCCTGCCCTGCTCCCACCGAGCCGGAGAACAGGGCGGTGGCGGGGAGAGGCCTCGGCCAGCCGTGGGCCCCGGTCCCGAGTGTCCCGGCTGCCCCGCGGGGCTGCGACGGGCCGGCCCGGCCGCCTCGCCCTCCTGGCCCTCGCGTCGCGTCAGGGCAGCTGATGCTGACCCCTCGGGTGGATCCGGGGGAAGGGTGTGCCGTGTCTCCTGTGGGAGCCCAGGGTCTGCGCTGTGCGACCTCTTAATAGTAAACTCTGATTTTACACGCACACACACGCAAAAGAGGCAGGAAGTTAAATTATACTGTTCAGTTCTTCAACAGTATCTGTTGTTAATGCAACACTCTAAATTAGCTCATCCTATCTGAAACTTTCTAAATAAACAATATTTGTTTACTATATTGGTTGATGAAAGCATCTCTGCTTGTGTAGGTGTGAGTTAACATCCACCAGCAACTCATCTGTGACTTGTCTAAGTATCTCAGGAAGACTTTTTTGGTATTTGAAGTATTACTTTGAGTCACCTGATTCCATTAGCTTGGCTAGCAGCTTTAAAACTTCCTTTTACTGAGGGAAGTGCACTATTTGTGTTGCACTTCTCAGTGCTGAAAAAATTCCACATCTTGAACGTGTTAAAAAGTAGCTGTCTCTGTAACTATGTAAGTTGATGGTTACTCATGTTTTAGTAAACTTTTTCAGTAGCCCAGGAAAATTAATTCTAAGTTTCAAAATCACTTAGGCGGTTTAAAAGGTTAAATACAGTGAAATTCATGTTCTGTTGAGCTTTTAGAATATTGTTTATGGATTTGGTTTTAATATTGGTGATTTTCACTGATTTGTGGAATGCGTGTATGAGTGATTTGTAATCAACCTAACTATTGCATGTAGCAAGAACATGACTTCTGGTGCACATACACTACATAATACGCAGCATGTTAGGCAGATATTGTACTAAGCCAACTTACTGTTTCTCTCCTCACTTTGATGTTCAGTGTCCTCATGCGATCCTGTGTTCTGTGGTGAACACACGAAGCTATTTTATTCATACATTCAGAAATTTTCACTTTGCTTTTCTTTTTGGAACCGTTATGGCCCCACACCGAAGGGTGTATAATTTCTAACTTCCTAGCCAGGATTGGCTTGAAATCAGGTGGTACAGGTTTTTTTCATTCTACACATTGCAAGGTATGGTAATGTGCTTTACCTTGAGAGCTAAAATTAAGAAGTGGTAGTCAGTAAAGATTTAGTGTTTTATTATTTTGTTATGCTGGTAACTGAGAGCAGTAGTGAAGAGAAGCTTACTTTATTTTCTGTGAGCTCTACCCAGGAGATGGGTCCCTCTCTGCAAATGGCCCTGATTTGGACTTTATTTTTGTTCAGTTCGTGAAAACATTGGTGATAGTAAAGGATACACTGTTTTTTGAACTGTATAAGGGAATAACTCAGTCAACCCCAATTTTTAGGAAATTGGCCTACTAACCAGTCACCATTTCACTTGGAAAGTAAATTTTGTTTTTTAAGTTTTAAACAAATTTCTCACCTTCTGCTTGTGCTCCTTCTAAAATAGCCTATTTTAAAAAGAAATATGCGAGGTATATTTGTATTGTATGTGAAATATTAAAAACCTTAAACTGTAATTATCCATCTGGAGTATGAATTTTTTGACATGTAATGGTAACAAATCCTATATGGCTGGAAGGGGCAACTGACGGTTCAGCATGGCCAGTGCTGCTTGGGCTATTAGAACTTCCTGAATTAATTCCTGTTTAAACTAAAGTATAGTTTCCAAGGAAGGCTATGGGAAAATTCAGTCTTGATTTGAATGCTTTCAGTGATGGAAAATTCACTCTGTCTTTTTTTTTTTTTTTTTTTAAACCGTCAACTATCAACTCTCTTGCTGCTGATGCTTCTTTGTTTTGAATCTAAATTTGCCCAGTATCTGTTTTCATTGTTATACTTTTGTCTACAAGATTTACAAATGTTTCTATGGAAGTGTTAGATTTGCTGGGGATGAAGGATGAAAACAGGGATTTCTTCCACAACTAACTTGTAAACCCTGGTCAGTTTTCTTACCTCCCACTTTGATAAACCACAGCAATTAAGTTCCTAGAGTTTTCCAGTGTGAAGACTTGGTCTATAGTTGTGCAATGTGCTGGCTCTTCCCTGTACTATTCAAACTCAATGAATTTCTTACTGGAATAATAAAAACTTTTAGGGGAAAGGACTACTGTTTTCATATCAAGAGACTTTTACTGATGCTTTCCTTGCATATTTGTTAACTGACAACTTGGTAGGGAGTCTTTTGTTGAAAGGGGTTGTCGTGGCGCTCTCAAGGCTGTGGAGGCTGTCTCTGATGCCATGAGCTAAACCCAGTCTCTGTTGCTCCTTCTCCTTTCTCGCTCCACATCCCGTGCTGATGTACATGCCAGGAGTCAGGCCTGCCTTTGAGCTGCAGCAAGTTGCTGAAATAGCAGAAAATTCACTGAACGGAAACAGCAGGGCCATTTTCTCAAGTTCTAGAGAGTTGCAGTAGCTGAAAGTTTGCTCAGAGCTGATACAAAAGGTTGAGTAGATGGCATAGTTGGGTAGGGGGAGACTTTCATGGTGAAGGGGTAGAAATGTAATGAAGAGTAGAAATATAAGTGGGAAATTGATGATCTGAGGCTTCTGAAGGCAGTTCTTTGGTTGGCTAGATCCTTGCTGTAACTTGGCAGTGGATTTTGTGGTTTGCTCAAGGTTACATGCTCTAAAAACTGAAGCAAGTGTAAAAAAAAAACCAATCAAAATAAGAAAAAAAGGAGATGATTTAAGAGAAGCTAATTTCCAAAGTTTTACAGTAATTTAACTGAACCTGACTTCAGAGGTAAGCAATTTCATATCCACATTTAAGAACTGATGCTTTAATCTAGATACTTTGTTTTGGATGTTTTTTCCAGAAACAGGGTTGACCTTACTCCTTATTTTTAACTGTGCATCACAAATGATGCATAGACAGAAAGTGTCTGAGCCTAAAAAATTTTCAAAACCTGTTCACAAAGAAAATGCAGTATTGTAAATGTGTTTCTGTGATAGTTGCTTACAAATGCTGCAGATGAGACTCTTACTCTTCTCCTTATTCCTTCTTGATTTCTTTGGCCTTTCCTCTTCTTTCCCCAATAGAATTCACAAAGCCCCAGCTTTACTCATGCCCTTTCTTTTGTTTTTGAGCTTCATTCAATAGGGAGAGCTAGAAATGTCAGGAAGCAGTATGCTGGCTTTTAAATAACATGCTCCCTAACTCGGTCTATTTTTAGACTTATCTGAAAATGTAGTCAAGTCCTTTTCTTGAAAAGTCTGATTTTTTGCCATTTGTTAAGTTCTGATTTCAGAAGGAAGTGTGGTGTTATTACAAGAACTGGATAAGTTATGGCACACTGATGGGCAAGACAGTTCTTCTGAAGCCTGTGCTGCTAACACAGAGTGAGAGTTTTAATTTTAAAGTTGAAGTTGGAACTAGAAGCTGATTTATAGGAGTAACACCACTGAAGATCATGACATCACTTTCACAAGTGAGGTATTTCACAAGGCAGCAACTGATAAGCTTCATGTGGTTAAAGCCTCTCTTAGTGTCAATACCAACAGTTTTTTCTTTGTAACTTTGGGGACACTTGTATCTCACCATTGTGTTCTTGATTGTTCAATGGTTTGTCTATTTTGAGAACTCATTTATGTGATTCTGTTTGTAGGACTTGGCCCTTTTTGTAGGAAGAAGCCCCTTGAGATGAAAGCTTAGACTAAATATTCTGTTCTTTAAAGAAGATACAACTTAGTGATACTTCTACAACACAGAAATGTCGTTCAAGGCTTCCTTGTCCATCTAATCATGTTGGATTTTCTATTGTGAATGCCACTAACCAGATACAGTTGAATTTAGCATGGTTCTTGTAGCTGTGGTGAGGGAAGGTCATTATTTACATATGAAAATTTCAGGTACGAAAAGACTTAAAATAAAGATTATTATCCTTTAGTGTGTATCCTTCCTCTCATGTTTCTTATTCCTCTCACTAGTGTAAGGCTTCCCTAAAGAAATTCCACATTTTCCTTTGTACCATCACAAATCTATATGTTTGCATTATGAATTGGTCAGAAACAATTCTTTGTTCTGACTTACAGCTGGGAATTGAAGCATCTCTCTGTGCTAAACCCAGACTTTGTGTTCTGCAAGTCTGCCTTCTGTATTGTCATAGCTTTGGAAGTAAACTCCTCTAGGAAATCTCATCTTAAGAGAATATTCAGTTAATAAATCTTAATTCATCTGTGAATTGGGATAAACTTCTACTATGCAGATCACTTCATAATCCATTTAACATGTTCCATTACTTAAATTAAGCAAAATAAGACATACTGCAAAGAATGAGATCACAATTGATATGTATATGTAAGGTGTGATGGAACAAAACTAATTGGGTAAAGTAATAATTTTGATTTTTTGATCCTACTCATGTGGAAAATGTTTGGGTTTTTAGGCTGTGACTAAGTAGATGTGAAAATACTTCCTGACCTTTTTTGAGAATTTTGGTTTGAGGGTTTGTTTTCTAAGGGGCAACAAAATGAACTATA